ATGGAAGAGGAGGACGCGGTGCGGGACTGTCGTGAGCCTGCGGACCTGGAGAGTCCAGCGGGAAGCCAACCTGGTCTCTTCACTACATTTTCTGTGAAAACACTTCTTGGGTTTACAACTAACTTCGAATCTGCAGCTTCCGAAGAAGAAACAGTGCTCAAAGCGTTTCGACCTTTGCACACCAATATAAACGCTCTTGCTAACACCTGGCATGAGAGGAATGATAATGATTGTAATGACGACTCAGAAAATGAGCGCGGGGTGAATAGTAGCAGTGGCCAAGCCGAGCCAACGACTTGCAGGCAAGCTGACGCTGACCTGGGACTGGAGTTTGCGGAACAAAATGAGTTACTTCTTCACCATTTAAAGTTTGTACAGACTTCTTTGTCTGAATCTGACAGTGAGGACAAGGATGCTATTCTTGTACAAGGTACTCTGGTTCATGCAACAAGTGATACAGAATCAGACACAGAGAGTAAGGACCTAGACACTGATGAAAACAATACAAGCGAATCTGGGCTAAATAATGTTGGCTTGTCTACTCAGGCTTTGGACAATAACAATGAAAATAAAGAAGAGTCAGAATCAGAAGGGCACAGCAACAATGATGCCACTGTGGGTACAGATGACATTGAGTTACACCCACCAATTTCTAAGCAGCTCCCGAAAGAGCTGGATGGTATTTTGGAGCATGACTCCAATGGAAAACACAGAATGTTAATGGATGAGCAGTTCAGTCGCTTGCTTGCTGCAGGGGAATGCCCTCAGGAACTTCCAGATGAAGAACAAAGACCTTCAGCTGATAATACATCGCTCCAAAAAACTGCACTGGCTGAAAAGACTTTCCAGCTGCCTGCTTTCTTTAGTGGACTACGTGTGAGGAAAAAGGGACTAACCACAGAGGATGGGGAAACTGTTACAGAAATTAAACCAAGGGAGAATGATTTAGCTCTGCTTAAATTACGACAGCCTGTTAAGAAATCCAGTATTACATCAGGTTTGACCACTAAAAAAAAATCGGCTGAACCTAAAGCAAGTCCTACTTTCCTGGAACAACTCTCTCACTTGTTAAACATAGACGTCTCCAAGAATGAAGATAGAACCGAGGACTCTGGTGAGGGATCTGGAGAGACCGAGGATAGTGATGAAGCTCAGGAGATCAAAGCCTCCAGTAGAACAGAACCACGATTTCGCTCTGAGGAAGTAAAATCAAGCCCCGCTGAATCTGCACTGGACGTCTTTAAAGCGTTATTCACACGGCCTCCCAAAAAAGAAACAACTGCAGATACTTCAGAGCTGGAAGCTATAAAACGCAAAATGAGAAATGAAAAAGAGTCCTTGAAAGCTGTATTTGAAAGGTCAAAATCAAAACCTGGGGATGGACCATCAGACAAATCTGTAGGTTGAGTTGCTTTTTCTTCCTAAGATCTGGAAGTAGATGCATAAAAGTAATGTCTTGTTTAAAAATTATTGGTGGGGACTTAAGGTCAAAATGTCAGAGCTGACCTCTTCTTTTGGCAATCTCAAATTTTGGATTCCCAACTGAAGAAATCTTGGGGCTAATTCATCAAAATTCTTGATCATCTGCAGTCATAGCAGAATTCAGTGAGAACAGCATTTCCATTAGAAGTGAGAACTTAAAAATCAGTTTCTGATTTTAACAGATCATCACAAAACAGTTGCCCATATGTTAAATATGGATTTAAATCAGTTTGGTGCTGCAAATATTTACTGTAGTATTATTTAATAGTTTCTCAGTCTCACTCTGTTTTCTTTTATTGAGTTTTTTATTTTTAAAAGTAATACTTTATTTTACCCTTTAGGAATAATTCTATGATAAGAGCTGATACAAGAAGAAGTTATGCATGGTATTCAACTCAAGTTTGTCCAAGACACAGAGTTTTTTTTTTTTTTCTTGCTTGCTTGCATATACCTACCTTTGCAAATACTGATAAGCGTTTAACCTTATCCAGGTATAACTCAGTGGTTCCAATTAGACGACTCAAGTTATGGATTATATAAGAATTTGCAAAGTTAATATTCTTAAGCATATGGCAATTTACTATATTTTTAAGAAATGAAAAAAATATGCCAAGTCTTTATAGAACCATAACGATAAATGAATTTGAATGTGATTTGAAGTCTTTAATTAAATGAGTAACCCTAGGGTTGGGGGAACCCCAACCCAAAATTCTTACAGGTACATTTTTGGCAGATATAATCAGTCCAGAAGATTGTTCTTGTTGGCCAAAGGGGGAGTTACCTGAATGATTAAATTTTTGAGATTGGACCCTAAACCTAAACTACTGAAGTTAATTTGCCGTGTTGGTTGTACTCTCTTTCAAATTTGTATTCTTACAGAAAATTAAAAACTAAAAAAAAATCTTGACTGACACCTCGGTAGACCAATAATACCAGTTTGTAATAAATTACCTACGTGGAGGAGAAAAGAGGTACTAATTGGCTGTGGCATGTACAGCACTTGCAGTCTGTGTGTGCCCTTCCCGTTCCTGACGTGTTTCTTCCTGCTTACACCAGGCCCTGTGCTGTGCTGGCGTAAGCGTTTGTGTGGCTCACAGCAAACCTATTTGGGAAGCTGCCATCACACACCGTGAGGGAGGAAGCACATGAGTCAGCAGGAGTGGCTCTTACAAATGTCTGCTTAACGTCTGGTCTAGTACAAATGTCATTTTCTCAGGGCAAAGCCAGAGTAAAAGGGTCTTGCCTTTCCTTTTTCCTCGCTCATGTGGGCCATTTATGGGGCCACTTTCATAAAGGGTTTTGCTGTTCCTGCAGTATGTCTGTGCAATTTCTTGTAGTAGCATGTTGTATAGCAGATTACAGAAATGTTAGAGATGTAAAAAAAACAACCCCAAACAACCAAACATAAATCTCTAAAAGAATGCTTATTTAATGTTGGTCTCCCCCCATTTAAAGGGTTATTTTAGCATTCCAGTTGACAATGCAGTCCCATTAACAGCTGCAGCAGCACTTTGATGTGGCAGTTATTACGTGGTATGTGGACTGAGCAAGCTGCTGGGGGTGGGGCAGGAATGTCATAAACTAGCTCTGCTTCCAGAAAATTATATTGTCAAATGATGTCTTAGATGAATTGCACTAGTGTTTACTTGTAAGAGGAGCATAGATGGGTCTTTTCGCTCTGAAAAGAAGATACAGGAAAAAAGCTTAGTGTTCTTGACCACCTCTGTGGTTCACCAAAGGACAGACACTTTCCACACTGATGTGAACAGTTTCAGCAAATCACTGTATGTCACATGCATTATGTTATTTTCCTCCTCAAAATTGTATTTCTACGCTGATTTCTTTGTATCCCTTCCAATCATCTGAGCACTGTTGCAGTCAGTAGAATGAGGCAGAAAACCATTCAGGAGTACATTTGTAGAGCTGAGCATGGCGGTTGCTGTTTCGTAACCGATTGATACTGCAGACTTTAATTTTTTCTTGCGTAATTTTAACAGCCCGACCTGAGTCCCTCAGAGCAAGATGACAAGACTCCAGGGAGACTCCAGACTGTCTGGCCGCCACCGAAAGCAAAGCATGAAGAAGTAAAAGTAGGATTAAAGTACACAGAAGCAGGTAAAACAAAGAGGTGAAACGTTTGCAGAAATTAGTTTCGGACATATTTAATCTTGTTTAATACAGAGATGGTGATAAGTCACAGTATTTTTTTATCTGGAAAAACAGACCTTATGTTTTGGATGTGTTGTTTACTGTTACTTGTTAAGCATCTGATTTTTAAATATGAATGGCTAAATCTGTGTTGAAATCTAAATGCTTGCCTCTACAAGTTCTTGAGGAAAGGAGTGGGGTTTTTGATAAATTAGGTTATCCATTTCTAATGGAATTCTGTTCAAATGAGCGACAGAATAGTGAGAGGAATGGAAACCTGATTGCCTTTTCCATTGCCCTAGAATGCGGGGAGCAGTGACCTGCTGGACTCTAGGCTGGCTGCAGATTTTCTTTGGGTCGTGTCTGGAATAAAAGTAATAAATACCATTATTTCAACTTGTGTATAAACAGGAATACTCATATCTGCCTAGATCACTTTTATAGCTAGCCATGTGTATTGTCTTATACAAATGTATGAGAGGGTGTGTCTGAAGCACAATGCTAACTAGTTATCAGATAAGCTTTGCACAGAAAAATATTTCTTAAATTTTTGTTATTTAGATAAATACTTACACAATGTATTTACAAGGGAAAAAGTGATTATTGTGGCCATGGCAACTGTGTTTCAGATTTGTATTCTTAAATATAAAACAGGAAGTACTTATTACCGAAGAAATTAGTCATGAACTGTGGAATTGTCTGAAATATCAAAATGAAAGGCAATAGACCACCTGTTCTTTACCTGGAGACTTTAGAAAATACCACCTAGAAAGGATCAAGTGGAATTAAAAACCAAGCTTTTGTACTACCTTGCTGTGAGAAATTGTACAGGGTACTGCTGTATGGTTCTTTCCGGTTCCATCGGATATCCATTTGGCCCTGTATATGGGAAAGAATAAATAGGAGTAGTGGATCTACTGCTTTGTACTGTTTAGCGTATTACTTCTTTCTCCTTATTTCCTCAGTTTTCTCTGCCTTAATCTTTTTTGTAAAGAGGGCATGATACTGGGAGCGTAAAAGTTGTTGGAAGATTCGGAAAAAAAATGGTTCTAATATAGACAGAATTGAATTTACAGTATATCTGATTGGTCTGAGGTGTGGCAGTCTATCACTAGGTGACCAGGACAGGTATTCAGCTGCTGAGGAGGAGTGCGACAGGCTCTTTCTGTTTCTCTTAGGTTCTTATTATAGGCTACATGCCTGCTGTATTTAATTTTACCCAAATAAAAGGGTTTTTTCTCCTAGTGACTGTAATCATCTGTGGCAAAAACATATGCTGAAATAAAGGAAAGGAAACTGAATTAACAAAAGCTCCAGATTCTACTACTTGTAGAGAAATTAGGTCATGCTTTCCTGAAATTTGAATAGGAAGGACAGACTGGCTTAGAGCCCATGTAAATTGTTTCTCTTTTGTTACTGTGATATTTTGGGTGGCGGTGTCATCAACATGTTGATGGTTAGTTTGCTAAGTCAAATTTTTATACAGACCAGATTCTGCAGTTCATTAGTCACTCCAGCGTCTGGCAGAGAGAGGGATTCGAATGAAAACAAACTGCTGGTGAGTCAGCCAGGACGAGACAGAAGCGGTGCTTTTGAAGGAACTAGGCAAAGACTATATTTGCAACATATGTTAAGAGTGCAGTAGAGTTACAGGTGTGCCTCGGTGATTAGCAGGTTTGAGTGTGTTTCAGCTGTTCAGGGGTGCCCAGAAAGCAGTTGTGGCAACAAGGAGACTGTAAAGGTGTTGTAGGTTGCATATGATGGATCAGTTACTTCTGCTTTTCTGAGTACTAGGGTGACTGTTCTAAAGCACTAAGGAGCGAATTTATGCAGTCTCCTGCAAGCAAAGGAAGGTACTGTTCATGAGTAGTGCTGATATAGTTAAAACCCCAGAGTTTGTATTCAGTGTTGGGGGGCGGTGTTTGTGGGTTTTTTTAATGAATATGAAAGTGGCAATACAGCATTATTTCTAAGCTCAGTATCTTCTCTCTGACAGTGGTTGGCACCTTCAAAGTGCATGTGTATACTGGCATTTCCCCTCATGCCCTTTTCCATCCAAAATTCCTTCCCAGCCACCAGTACCATAAGAACTTCTTGTCCATGATGTGGGCTTCTTAAAAATATGACATAAAGCAGGTTAATGATCACTATTAAACTGACTGGTCTCAACCCATCTCAACCTGAAACCCTATTTCATACTGCAGTGTCTTATCTTGACGGCTGAGATCGAATGAAAAATTATTGATTGCAATAGAGTTCAAAAATTGTGTGTGGCAGGAATGTTTGATTCCAGTCTTCCTCCACTGATGTTCCTGAATAAATGGTAACATGAAAGTGCTGAAGTGACTTGTTTTAACTTTCAGTCAATGATTTATGTTAGTGTTTTAATTTCTGTGATTAAGAGTTTCATCTCCCAAAACAATAGGAATCTATATACAAACAATACTAACAGTAGGCTGACTTAGGTGATTATTCATTTAGCACAGCTTTATTTTAGGTTTAGCAAAATAAATCTATCACAAGTGTGATCACATCCAAGGATAAATTTGTGGACGTAAGTCTTTTTATTTCTAACAGGGTACAAGAATGTGTACTTATTTTGTGAGGTAGCATAGATTTTTTTCATTTGTCATGAGAAATTAGTATTTAAAGTAACGCTGAAAATTTGAAAGTTGGAATACTACAATTCTGCACCAAGTCTTTGATTTACTTCCTTCATCACCATGCACTATGGCAGCTATGACAGGAAGGTAGGGATATAGAGGGAGAGGATTCCTGGCTTTTTGATCTTTTCTCACCTCCTTGCCATGTTTTTCCTCATTGCTCTTGTTGCCTAGTGGAAGCAAGAAATTCAGGCTTAATTTGGCCTACGCAGCAGACATGACAGTGACTCACAGCAGCTTGGAGGAGTAGCTAAATCCCTCCTGAGGCTCGTAGTCTGGCTTGATGTGTGGGAAACCAACTGAAAAGCAAACGGACATAACAAGGAACATGTGTGTAGGGCTGACTAGGCCTGTTGGAAATATTAGAAGAGAAAGAAGTTAGTGAAGAAATATAACTCTGCAACAGGTTTTTTTCATGCCTTTGATAACATCTTGTGTAGTTATAGTATGGTCACCCCCAACATCCGAATCCTGAGTTGTAGCTTTTCAATTAAAAGGATATTACAATATTTTGGTGTATCTTATGTTCTCTTAATCCTTTAATTTCTTTGTTTCCATAGAGTGACTGCGTTGTCAGCTGGTTCTCTGTAATTAGCACAAGCTGCTTACATGGTTCTCTAGAGAAACTGGAACTTCTTTGAAGTGTGTCAGTCTAAAATGGCTGAAGTCCAGAAAGTCGACAGTACATTACACCACTTATATTCTGGAAGACTAGAAAAAGGGTATTTTAATTTAGAGTTATAGGTTTATTCCATGGAAATCTTTCCCATGTAATCAAAGACATTTCTGTGCATATTTCTCTGGTCCTGAAGTTCTGATCTTCTGTTTTCAGTAAAAGTGTCTTTTTCTTTTTCCTCCCTGGTTCTTAGAGAGATTTCTCCCATCATTTAAATCATTAAATCTGATAGAAGGGTGGATGCACCAGCTATTATGTATGGTGAAAATATCTAGCCAGGTAGAGGAGACATTCATATCTGTATGGAGTGAACTCATCAGTGATACCAGATCACACAGAATCCACATATAATGAATGTTTCAGCTGCTGCGTGTGACTAGATCAGCACTTGCAGCATCTCATGCCCAGCAAAAGGAATTCAGACATAAGTTCTGTTGCTCATAAACTACTTAAGTTTGAAGAACAGTCTCAACATTAAGGTGGTATAGAACCTGTAATTCCTATTTAAAATGTATTTTTAGCCATTAGGATCAAAATAGTTCTCTTACATAGAACAGAGTTTAGTCTTTTGCTTAAGCAAAATGGAAATTTAAAAAGTGGTGAGTGAAGTATTTAACATTCCTGCAAAAAATTGTTTAAAAAAAATCAAGTTGAAACATTAATCCACTTAGTGCTTTTTTCATTATTTTTTTTCTTGCTAATTCAAATATCTGTATTTAACATGAAAAAACCCTGTTCTGTCATAGTCTGTCTATTCATCATCCTTAAATCTGCAGCGAGGTAATGCTGTCTCTATGGTGCCATAATTTCTATAACAGCAGTCTGGGATGCTGTAACCACAATTTTCAGGGTAAATAAGAAAATCGGGAGGTGAGTGAGAGAGCTCTTATTAACAAAAAGTGTCTAAGTAAATGGTGAATAAAATAAAAAGTAATGGCAGAGGTTTATTGCCATTCTCAAACATATTAAAGCCTTGGTACCCTGTGCTCTGGGTTCCCAGCAAGAAAATCACTTCATGGTCATGATGTAAATGCAGAGAATAACCAGCTTATTTGAGAGAAAGAGAGGCATAGCGGTCTGAACAAATTGCTGAGAGATAAGAACATGATTTCTTATCTTTCTTTAACGTAAACTTCCTTTGTGGCCTTGAACAGTTTGTGTTTGTCTCTAAAAGAGACATAATGCTTGATGTTGTTAGTATCCTGAAGGAAGTTATTGTAACAGTGGCTGCTAACAGTTGGTTTCATCTTAAAATAAAAAAAAAAAAAGAAGACATTTTCTGAGCAATTTCAGTTTATTTGATTTCACTGTGGTATTTGGGGTTTAGTTCTGGGATCCTATTATAAAATTTGTTGTAATGAATTAGACAAAGCAGGACTACAGCAAACAGGATTACACATTGGTTGAAGATAGTGTTTTTGTGATTTAATGGTCACTGATCAGTTTGATGTGACCTTAGAGTGCATGTGGGCTGCAGAGAGGTTTTGTAAATTATTTTACTGCATTTATTGTGCAGCATGGCAGGCGTATTTGGGCATGCTGTGTTGGTGTTTCATATTCTGACAAATACACTGGCTTTTATTAAGAAGCCGAGTTTTTTATTACCGGTCAGATTGTTGTAGTCATAT